CTCCAGTCCCCTGATCATCTTTGTTGCTCTTCTCTGTACTCTTTCTAGAGTCTCAACATCTTTTTTACATCGTGGTGACCAAAACTGGATGCAGTATTCCAAGTGTGGCCTTACAAAGGCCTTGTAAAGTGGTATTAACACTTCACGTGATCTTGATTCTATCCCTCTGTTAATGCAGCCCAGCACTGTGTTGGCCTTTTTGGCAGCTGCAGCACACCATGCAATTGGATATTCATAAGCACGTGGGCTCTGTTTTGCTGCCTGCTTCTGAAAGCAAGAAGTTGTAGAATGTCTGGTGGAGCACAATATGGGGTAGATGAGCTGTTTTTAGTTTGATTAGGGGCATGAAAATTAGTTACAGGCTTGGCCTAGGCCAGGGGTAGGCAACCTTGGCTCTTTTATGACTTGTGGACTTCAACTCCCAGAATTCCTGAGTCAGCAAGGCTGGTTCAGGAATTCTGGGTATTGAAGTCCACAAGTCACAAAAGAGCCAAGGTTGCCTACCCTTGCTCTAGACCAAAAAACACAAATCATGAAAACTAAATATTAGTAACGGCTAGTCATATGCACTGTCTCTGCTCAAGGGCTGTGAAGACTAAATCCTAACTGTGGGAAGCAGAGACATTTCTTGAATGCATTTTGTTGGCCACTCTGACTGATGCCCAATTAGATGAGCCATTGGCCTCCTCTAGTAGAGCTGTCATCGGAATAGCATCATTAACATTCCCCAAAATAGCATGTGATTAGCTAGATTTTATCTAACATAATTTCCTGAGGCTTTACACAAAATAAACTCAGGGAGAGAGTAGCATAAGAATGATAGATCCTTATCTTCCCTTTATTGTCAGCCCTCCCATGTAAAGTAGACAGGAATACACAACTAGTTGAGCTAATTTATTGTAAGGCTACACTAAGAGAATCGTGGACGTCTGGGCTTGCAAACTTCCCATCTGCCATTTTGAACCATCTAATCCATTTGAGCAGGTCCATCCTCAGTTCCTTTCTCAATCAAGCCCTTGGGAGATCTTCCTTTTCTCACCGGCCTGTTTCCTAAACAGCATCTCTTCTCTTCCTGTCCCAAGATCTTCCAGACATTCCATTCCATTTATTCAGACGATACATCATCATCAAAAGGTTTTGAAAACTTACCACATAAGACAGAGTAGTAACACGGTACCTACGGATAACAGGTTGGAGACTCTTTTGATGGCTTCTGTACGCCCCAAAATTATTCTTGTTACTTTAGTTTTTTTTTTTAAAGCTGAAATCGTGCAGAATTTGAGTAAGAACAACATCCTGCAGGACTTGGTGCTTTGCCAAGACTTTAATCATTTTGGCACCTGCAGCAAGGACCACCTCGTTTAGTATCTATTGCAGTCAGACTATCACTCAGGAGCCAGGGCATCCTCCAAGCGCAATGGAGGGAAGAAATATTTTCCAGTGTATACTATTATTTTTGGTGCTTCTTTCTAAGATATCTTGCTTATCTAAGTAAGCCTGAGGAGTCAAATCAGGTTTGACTGATGAAAGGCCTCCCCGTTTCAGATGACTATAATGAAAGATATGAAGTTAGTTCTGGGAGCTCATTTAATTTTATGTAAAATAAAGCCTATCCTTTTTGGAGGCAATTAAAAGTCTGCTGCATGGGAAAAAAAGAAGCACATAATTGATGCATGTATATTGATGCATGTATACGCAGTGCACGTGTTTGAGGGAGTCATTTCTGCCATACTTGGAAGGTTTGCAGTTTTTCCATGTAGATCGCAGCATGAACTGTAGCATAATAGTTAAGAAACAGAAGCTGCACATCTGTGCTTCTTTAGACAGAGATCCTCAAACGTTTCTGAACAGGAGCACTTTGGGAAGGTCTAATCTAGAGAAAAGAAGGACTGAGGTGACATGATAGCAGTGTTCCAACATTTGAGGGGCTGCCCCAAAGAAGAGGAGGTCAGCCTATTCTCCAAAGTGCCTGAAGGCAGGACAAGAAGCAACGGATGGAAACTGATCAAGGAGAGAAGCAACCTGGAACTAAGGAGGAATTTCCTGACAGTTAGAACAATTAACCAGTGGAACAACCTGCCTCCAGAAGTGGTGAATGCTCCAACACTGGAAGTTTTTAAGAAGAGACTGGACAGCCATTTGTCTGCAACAGTATAGGGTCTCCTACTTGAGTAGGGGGTTGGACCAGAAGACCTCCAAGGTCTCTTCCAACTCTGTTATTCTGGAGTTGTTGTCGGTGTCATCTCACAGGTGAACCAAAGCTGACCATGCCAACATGGGTGCTTCCAGATCCCTTGCAACTTTACATAGACAATAAAATTGGCCACTTTGGGACCACTAAAGCTGTCTTGATCGTGACTCGGTTCAACCTGCCTCATGTAGTTGGAATACATTTGAAAGAGGGACTACTATGAATAATCTCTTGAGTCCATGAAGAGAAGGACGAGGGGGGACATGATAGCAAATCTTCCAATATTTGAGGGGCTGCCACAAAGAAGAGGGAGTCAAGCTACTCTCCAAAGTGCCTGAAGGCAGGACAAGAAGTAACGGGTGGAAACTAATTAAGGAGAGAAGCAACCTAGAACTAAGGAGAAATTTCCTGACAGTTAGAACAATTCACCAGTGGAACAACCTGCCTCCAGAAGCTGTGAATGCTCCAATGCTGGAAGTTTTTAAGAAGAGACTGGACAGCCATTTGTCTGAAATGGTATAGGGTTTCCTGCCTGAGCAGGGGGTTGGACTAGATGACTTCCAAGGTCCCTTCCAACTTTATTATTATTATTATTATTATTATTATTATTATTATTATTATTATTATTATTATTATTATTGTTGTTGTTGTTGTTGTTGTTGTTGTTGTTGTTGTTAATTAATTAATTAATTAATTTCCATTCTTTCTTTTCTCTCTCCCATTTTCTTGGTCAGCCTTGCAATGTTCTTACGAAGAACCAAAGCTGCCACCGTTATCCAGAAATGCCAGCGCATGTATGCTACCCGCAAACGGTATCGACACATCCGAGCAGCCACCATTACTCTCCAGTCGTACCTGCGAGGCTACATTGCCAGGAAGCAGTATCACAAGGTAAGGAAGGCCCTGGCTGTGATTTTGAGTCCCTTCCTAAAGTTATGATCCAACAATACTTTTTTTCCAGGATGCTGTAGAATAGATACGTGTTTTAATGTTATTTCTGTGGGCCCATTTCTCAAGATAGAGATCAGCGTTCTTGCACACCAATGGAAAAGAAGATTAGTGGTGCAAAACTTTGCCAATTATGTTTCCCCTAATACATAATGTGAAAGTCGTATAACCTCTACTAGATATTCCCTCTAATCCTTTCCCAACGTGTTCAGCAGCGGGGTTAGCTGCTGACAAAAACATAGCTAAAATCCTGACCTATCAACATCCAGAATATTTATATTTAGTGGGTTTGGACACACTCTTATACCTCCTTATTTAAACCAACTCCCCTGTTTTGTAGTTGAACATTATTCTTTAAGGAAAAAAAATCACTGCATTCTGTTAAGATTGTAGAAGCCTTTAAAGACAGATGCTCCTTTAGTTTTTGAACCTTTGTGGCTTTGCAAGAATCCCAAAGATGGCTCAGTTGGGTTGATGGACAATGTCTTCTGACACATCAGTGGTGTTCCGGTAATTAAAGATGATTTCGTTCTGCATAGCGTGTTCTTTGCCTGTGGAAGCTTTTGCAACAGCTGTCTTGTGATTATAAAAACTGGTATGGAAAATAATTACTGGCCTGTAAGAAGAGTTGAATCACCTGCTCACCTGTTCGGAGGAGATCCCTAAATGAGATTCCGTTGGGAGGCTCACAGTTTTACAGGGATCGCCACGGTTCCAACTCTAGAGATGCTGTTTTGTAAACACTCAAATGCGCTTAGGAAAATTTCTGATACTTGAATATTCTTTGGATGTCCTGGGAATATTTGTGTCAGCCTGAGGACCTGCAGGAGCTGTTGAATCAAGGTATTCCTAGAGCATTTGAACAGAGCAATGACATAATAATAGTTGGAAATAGATTGTTGTGTGTCCTGCTGTAACTCAAGTGTAAGAAGTAATATTCAGATGACGGGGCTGTAAACGTGAAAATAGAGAATGGCTGGTTAATGTAGTATTAGAAAACAGCCTTGTCTAAATTGTTTTCCTGATTCCCTGAATGAGAATCAGAAGTGGAATTTTTGACTGGCAAATGAGCAAATGTCCCAGCATAATCTTGTGGTGACAGGAAGGATGAAGGATCTTGAATCTTACCTAATAGCTGTATTCATTTTGAGAGTTTTAATTCTTTGTATCGATTCTGAGTATTAGTTTTGTATCATGTAGGAACAAACTACAAATAGCAAACTGATTTAATTTATCAACCGAGTCTATCGGTGTTGGAAAAAAAGCAATATTTATTTCAGTTATTTATAAAATGTGAATGTTTAGTCTGTGACTTACGGCGTGAATACTTGTATAGTTTTAGCCTTGGGTGGGAAAGCATGCCCACTCCTATAAATTGGGAGGAAATATTTTTCCTTCTCAGTTTTAAGGTGCTTATTGTTGTTGTCTTTTAATAAGTTTTCGCTCAGCCACAACTCACTTTCCTTGTGCTGTCAGTTAATTGTCCCTTGTAGCAGATTTTCAGATCCTAAAGGCAAGGAAAGGATGCTCAACCTGTCTTTTCAATGCGCAGATGCTTTGGGAGCACAAGGCCACCATTATCCAAAAACATGTGCGTGGCTGGCTGGCTCGCTTGCGCTACCACAGGACTTTGAAGGCCATTGTCTACCTGCAATGCTGCTACCGGCGCATGATGGCCAAAAGGGAGCTGAAGAAGCTGAAGATAGAAGCTCGCTCGGTCGAACACTACAAGAAACTCAACGTTGGCATGGAGAACAAGATTATGCAGCTCCAGCGTAAAATCGATGACCAGGTAAAATGAACCTAATACAGTGATGGCGAACCTTTTAGAGACCGAGTGCCCAAACTGCAACCCAAATCCCACTTATGGATCGTCGAGTGCCGGGTGGGCGTGGCCCATTGGGTGGGCGTGGCCCATTGGGTGGGCGTGGCTGCGGTGGTAACGGCAGACTGGGTGGGACTAAAAAGTTCAATCAATCAATTCCAACTTCGCAAGATCTTTTTTTTTCCACGAGAAGTTGAAATTGACTGATTGAACTTTTTTTTTTTTTGCACACGGTGGCGGAGGCCTAAAGTGAAAAGGTTTTATAAAACCAAGTGAAGGTCTAGGACTGGGGCGACGGCGCGTGTGCCCACAGAGAGGGCGCTGAGTGCCGCCTCTGACACCCGTGCCATAGGTTTGCCACCACTGACCTAATAGCCTAGTGTTCTCTTCCTACCCACACCCACACACACCCACACACCCACACACACACACACTTAAAAGAGCAGACTTGATGGACCACTAGATCTTTTTCTGCCATCAGGCTTCTATGTTTCTATATTTCTAACCTGAAAAAATAAGCATGGGATGGTGCGCATCTCCTAATAGGAAGCAAGATGATCCATAAATATTTAGCCTGTCACCTGTCGTACTCTAAAGATTGATCTGCATTATTTTGGGTTTGGTTCAGACACGAGATTCCAAATCCCTGGTTGAGAAGCTAACCATCTTAGAGGCGGCCTATGCTTCCGAGACGGAGAAGCTGCGGAATGACATCGAAAGGCTTCGGATGAGTGAGGAAGAGGCCAAGAACGCCACCAACCGCCTCATGAGCCTTCAAGAGGAGATCAGCAGGCTGAGGAAGGAGCTGGGCCAGATCCAGACCGAAAAGAAAGCCATCGAAGAAAAGGCGGGTCTCTATAAACAAGAAACGGACCAGGTAAAAGCGTTTGGTTCCAAAGGGCACCACTTCTTAAAAGTATTGCAGACGAAGAGCAACGTGGTGCGTTTGTGTGGGTTTGTCCCATTCTCCACTCCCATTAGTCCCATTCTCCACACTTCTGCTCCGGTCTCTGCCCAGTTGATTTTAGCATGTAGCTTGAGTAGAGCAGCTTTATCCGAGTTGCACTTTAAAAATACAACCCAGTTTTATCCTATCTGTCCGTTTCATCAAAACTAAGAGACCCATATATTGCAAATCATTTTTTTTTTCAAGAGACGCCTTCATAATGCTGGCTGGGGTTCATGTTACTGGGGGGCCCCCAGCCTGAGCAAGTTTGATCTACCTTATAATGTTCTAGACCGGTGGTTCTCAGCCTGTGGTCCACAGACCCTTGGGGGGGGCACGATGCCGTCGCAGGGAGTCCGTGAAGCCTTGAAGGAAGGTTATGATTTAAATCTTGAGTTAAGTCTTGGAGGTCCGTGACCACAAAAGATATTTAAAGGATATCCGTAGAGAAGAAAAGGTTGAGAATCTGTGTCCTCGACCAGAGGTCCCCAACCTTTCTAGGTTGGCGGCCCGGAGGAAAAGGAAGGGGGAGGCATGGGGCTGCATGTGGGTGCCCAACGCAAATGGGGAGGCACAAGTGTGCGTGCAATGCTTGGGGCAGGCCTAGCGCCCATGCAACACTCAGGGTGGGGCTATCGCCTCTGCGATGCTCAGGGCAGTGCTAGCGTGAGTGGAGGGAGTGCGTATACACACATGCGCACACTGGCCAGCCATTCACGCTGCCCGGTGGCCAAGAGGCCACGGCCCGGTAATGGACCGTGGCCCACAGGTTGAGGACCCTTATCTTAACCAGAGGTAGGCAACCTTGGCTCTTTTATGACTCGTGGACTTCAATTCCCAGAATTCCTGAGCTAGCCATGCTGAGGGGAAAGGGAGAGGTTTCCAAGCTGAGCCATGCTGGCTCAGGAATTCTGGGAGTTGAAGTCCACAAGTCTTAAAAGAGCCAAGGTTGCCTACCCCTGTCCTAGACCAAGTGAAATATTATGTATAGACAAGACTTTGATAATGATACCAGCAGCCTCATTATAAACTTAGCAGCTAATCTTACCAGAATCATTTATTGCCAGAAGTCTACAAATCTTTCCCTTCCAACCTTCTTCTTCTTCTTTTTTTAAAGCTGGTGCTTGAACTAAAAGAGCAAAACACACTTCTTAAAAAGGAAAAAGATGATCTGAATAGTCACATCCAAAACCAGGCCAAAGAAATTACAGGTAAGCTGAGGTCTGGAATTTACTGGCTGGGTTTTTAAAAACCAGTTTCTGTGTCCAGTAGGAATGTGGGACGCTGGGCCAGAAGGAATCCCTATTTCTCACCTGTAGAGAGACAGCAAGTGAGTGAACTGGGCTACCTGTGAAATGAAGGAGAATATTTTTTTTAATCTTGAGAATTGCATTGTGGGGCCAAAGTTAATGGCAAATTGAACCATAGCCAACATAGGCAATGCTACCTTTTCTTTTTTAATGTAAAAGTTTTTATTGTTTTTTCCCCCCTACATCTATCTATATCTATATATAAATAAAAATGTAAATGTTCGTTTGTTCAAAATCTTAAATCTCCGAAAGTTCTTCACCGATTGCTTTGAAATTTTGACACAACGTTGCATTCGAATACGCACGTGTTTTTATATACCTATATTATATAGATGTCACNTCCTCTCTTCTCTCTCTCTCTCTCTCTCTCTCTCCCTACCTACCTACCTATCTACCTACCTACCTACCTACCTATCTATCTATCTATCTATCTATCTATCTATCTATCTATCTATTTATCATCATGTGTCTGTCTGTCTGTCTGTCTGTCTGTGTATTATCTCTCTCTCTCTCTCTCCCTACCTACTTACCTACCTACCTACCTACCTACCTATCTACCTATCTATCTATCTATCTATCTATCTATCTATCTATCTATCTATCTATCTATCTATCTATCTATCTATCTATCATCTATCTATCTATCTATCTATCTATCTATCTATCTATCTATCTATCTATCTATCTATCTATCTATCTATCTCAGATTATAACCATAGTGAATGGGAAGGGCATCCTTTTATCAGTCCATCCATCCATCCATCCATCCATCCATCCGATTGTGAATATAGCGAATAGAGAGGGCATCCTGAATCGTGTTCCTTCTTGCTGCTCCTTTGCCTGTCTTTATTCATCAAAGACTCTTCGTTTTTCTCTATAAGTTTTCTTAATCACCTCCCCTTCAAAAGATGAAGCAATGACAGTACAGGAAACATTTAACCCGTGGAAGCAGCAAAGTTAATGCTGGCGCTCATTCTCTTTCCAGACTGTTTCCAAGCCAGGGCACAAGAGAACGGATTCCACCCATAGTAGCAATGAATCAGAATATACTTACAGCTCTGAGATAGCTGAGGCTGAATGGGAACCAATGGGAACAGAGGTAAGGTTGGGAAATTTTGTTATTTGTTTCTTAGTTTTCCTGGCTCGGGATACAGATCTTGTCATTACGTAACAGATCAATTCTGGAGATCATTTTTGAATATCCAGAAATGTTCTAGTATACTAAGTACTTGATGGCTGAGCCAGATTTTTAAACCATGATTTAAAATATCTCAATATTATAAAATGAAGAAAAACCTAGTGTGCTCATATTTTGTATCTTGAGTCTTAACTGTCAACCTGGTTTTTTTTTCTTTCCGTAAAAACAAGGCAGAAAGCCATAGTGTGGACCTTAAATTGTGTACTAGGTTTCATTTTTTAAAGCATTAGGACCGATACTTTTAAAATTAGCTTTGTTTATCAGACTGACCTTTTGAATTTTTTTGACTTCTACAGTAACAATTTGAAAAAAAAAAAAGTAACATCAAGATGCAGCACTTTTAAACAAGTAAAATGTACATATTCCCCGTCACGTCTTTTCATTTATGCTTGCTAAGTTTCGCACGTTGACATAATTCATTTAAAGCCAACTTGGGGTTTGTTCTTGATAGAGATTTTCCAACTGCTGCTCCAATGTTGCTGCCACTATAGATTCTCTACATCAGTGGTTCTCAACCTGTGGGTCGGGACCCCATTTGGGGTCGATCGACCATTTCACGGGGGTCGCCAAGCAAGGCTGTCCGCCATTTTTTTTGTCCGCCATTTTTTTTGTCCGCCATTTTTCCCCCTTTTCCGGCGGGTGCCTTACCTCCCTTGGGCTGGACCAGCTGGTGGTTGGCCTGCTCTGTCTCTGCCGCTTGCCAGCTATGCCTCGGCCGGCGCAGGGGGCGGAACCACGCATGCACGGCGCTCCCGGGCAGGGAAAGTCCTCGACTTATGACCGGTTGGGTAGTCCTCGACGTACGACCGGTTTAGTCCTCGACTTACGACCGGTTTAGTCCTCGACGTACGACCGGTTTAGTCCTCGACTTACGACCAGTTGGGGTCGCGGCATTAAAAAGGTTGAGAACCACTGCTCTACATTGTGGACCCTGTTTTCCTTATTTCCATATGCTTTCATCTTTTTCTTCACGATTACAAACCGCATGTAGGTCTGCCCCTCCTTCAGTAGCTTGGGAACTTTCTGATCTTCCCCCTTCCCCCTTTTGCCCTGTAAATCAGGAACCGAGTGAGAAAAAGGCACCTTTGGACATGTCTCTCTTCCTCAAGCTACAAAAACGAGTGAAGGAGCTGGAGCTAGAAAAGCAGTCCCTGCAGGATGAGCTAGAGAAGAAGGAGGACCAAGTTCTCCGGGCCAAGGCCAAGGTAAGATGGAAAAGACCACGCATCTTCTGGTCCAGGTGATGGTGATAGTTGGGATCCTATGCCAGTGATGGTATTCCATTCAGCAGGTGGAAGTTGGGTCCGTGATTCCCTCCCTGGGAAAATTCTGAAATAAAGGAGAATATTTGTTGTTGTTGTTGTTAGTTGCGAAGGCGTGTCCGACCCATCGCGACCCCATGGACCACGTTCCTCCAGGCCTTCCTGTCCTCTACCATCTTCTGGAGTCCATTTAAGATCACGCCTACTGCTTCAGTGACTCCATCCAGCCACCTCATTCTCTGTCGTCCCCTTCTTCTCTTGCCCTCCATCTTTCCCAGCATCAGGCCCTTCTCCAGTGAGTCCTTCCTTCTCATTAGGTGGCCAAAGTACTTGAGTTTCAACTTCAGGATCTGGCCTTCTAAAGAGCAGTCGGGGTTGATCTCCTCTAGGACTGGCTGAATATTTGTAGCTCATGGTTAAAATGAGGGATGATCTCTGAGCCTGGTTGTTTTCTTGCAGACATTTCATGACCCAAACAAGGTAACACCATCAGTGCTAGAAGGGCCCATAAACCCCACACCCTTCTAGCACTGATGATGTTATCTAGCTGGGTAATGAAGTGTCTGCAAGAAAGCCATCAAGCTCAGAGAGTACCATGGACCCTCCAAAGCAAACTAAGGAACACACAAAACACAACTAGTGCTTTCTTGCAGTTGTCCACTCCTTAATTTTTGTAGGTTTGATCTATTGGTGTTAGAAGCAGGATAGAATATTATTTTTTTCCCCTCTGGTATTTTGTCTCATGACCTTACAAAATTTGAGGAATATTTTACTCTTTATCTTAATGTTGATTCAGTCAGCAGAGCTACCAGTAGAGTTTTTAGTCATTGTAACTTTTGGCAAATCATCTGCCTTTCTCTCTTGGATTGGCTACAGAATTCTGTTCATCCTTTAAATTTTGAACATTAAATAAGCATGACTGATGATCTAAAAATGAATACAGAGACACCACTGAAATATCCGTTTCTTCTTGCTAATGTCTGGAATGTTCTGTTTCTAAAAGTGTAATATTTTTCTTTGTGCTTTGCATTTTTCCAGGAGGAAGAAAGGCCTCAGATGAGAGGAGTAGAGCTGGAATACGAATCGCTTAAGGTTGTGAAAAGCATTCTTTTTGGGATCCCTGAATCCTATGCATTACCCCCAAAGTAGGCTAAATTAGAAGTCACCACGATGTAAAAAAGATGCTGAGACTCTAGAAAGAGTGCAGAGAAGAGCAACAAAGATGATTAGGGGACTGGAGGCTAAAACATATAAGGAACGGTTGCTGGAATTGGGTATGTCTAGTTTAATGAAGAGAAGGATGAGGGGGGACATGATAGCAGTGTTCCAATATCTCAGGGGCTGCCCCAAAGAAAAGGGAGTCAAGCTATTCTCCAAAGCGCTTGAAGGCAGGACAAGAAGCAACAGGTGGAAACTAACCAAAGAGAGAAGCAACCTAGAACTAAGGAGAAACTTCCTGACAGTTAGAACAATTAACCAGTGGAACAACCTGCCTCCAGAAGCGGTGAATGCTCCAACACTGGAAGTTTTTAAGAAGAAACTGGACAGCCATTTGTCCGAAATGGTGTAGGGTTTCCTGCCTGAGCAGGGGGTTGGACTAGATGACCTCCAAGGTCCCTTCCAACTTTATTATTATTATTAGTAAATGGTATTTACTGAACTTTTTTTTTAAAAAAAAATCCTAATGCTTCATGTCCGTACTACGGTACCAGTAGATATGGAAGCTGGAAGCCAGTAGTGCTTTGGTTATTTTAATTATTAGACTGAGGCACACTTACAAAAGTACATGGAATTTGTAATCATCAGTATACCTGGAAGTACCAACATTTCTAGACATTTTTTTCCCTCTTGGCATGTTTTAAGTCAGTGTTTTTCAAGCTTGGCAACTTTAAGATATGTGGAGCTCAACTCCCAGGAACCTGGCTGGCTGGAGAATTCTGGGAGTCGAAGTCCACACAGTGGACAAAGTTGAAGTCACCAAGTTTGGAAAAACCCTGGTCTAAATGTTTCCATCCTGTGCATTTTAACGGATTGCCATTCCTTCTGTGTGAAAAAAAAAAATCCAGACAATATAAACACAAAGACAGGTCTGTTCTGACTTAATCAGTTCATCAATTCACAGAATTCATTAACTGGAAACCACAGGGGTTTTCACCTGGATTAAAGTAGACCTTTGTTTGTGATATACATAAAAGTCAGAACATCTTTTATCAAACCCATTAGTAACTAAAATTGGCTTCTTGATCTTGATCTTGATTTCTATTAGGACAGTTGGTGAATGAGGACAATTGTTTTTATCGCCCGCAGCGTCAAGAGCTAGAGTCAGAGAATAAAAAACTGAAGAACGAATTGAACGAGTTGAGAAAGGCTCTGATGGAAAAGAGTGCTCCAGATGTCACCATGCCTGGTGCTCCAGCATACAGGGTCCTTTTGGACCAGATGACATCTGTCAGTGAAGAGTTGGAGGTCCGCAAGGAGGAGGTTCTCATCCTGAGGTCTCAGCTGATGAACCAGAAGGAGGCAGTGCAGCCCAAGGTGAATACAGAAACAAACCTGGTTTTGTCATCCATGCTCATGTTAGGTAGCCCCAGGGTGGGTTACGTTGCTTCCTTTCTTCCAAAGTACAATCTAGGATGAAACCAAATACTAGCATGGATTTTCTTCTGTAGCTCATTAGCGGCTCAGGATATGTGTGTAATCTCATCCCCTGCAGAAAGCTATTCCTTCTCACCATTGAGTATGGTTGAGTAACAATTGGTTTTCATCCACTGTTGTATTAATTTATGGGATGTTGGAGGGGAAGTGCGCAGCATGCTCAGTTCCTTAACATTTGATTGCCACAGTCATCTGCCAGTGGCCTTTCTGAAGCTTTAGAGCAGTGGTTCTCAACCTTCCTAATGTCGCGACCCTTTAATACAGTTCCTCATGTTGTGGTGACTCCCAACCCAGCTGGCCAGGGAGGGGGGCAGGAAGGCCGTTCCGCCGGCTCCGCCCAGCCTGGTTGGAGTCGCAGTGGGGGCTGGTGCCGCGCAACCCCTGCCAGCCCCTCAACCAGCCTGGCTGCTCCTCCCCAGGCACCCCTCTTGTCCTGGCGCCCGCCCGAGCCGCCTGGGGGGCAGCAGGAGGAAGAAGGGGAGGAGGAAGAGGAGGGGTGTCTCAGTTCCTAAGACCATCAGAAATATGTGTTTTCTGAGGGTCTTAGGCGACCCCTGTGAAAGGGTCGTTCGACCCCCAAAGGGGTCCCGACCCACAGGCTGAGAACCACTGCTTTAGAGCAAGGATGTCCAACTTTGGCAACTTTAAAATCTGTGGAGTTCAACTCCCAGAATTCTCCAGCCAATCATGCTGGCTGGGGAATTCTGGGAGTTGAAGTCCACAGGTCTTAAAAGTTGCCAAGACTGGACCCCCGTTTTAGAGATTAGCAATTTCCTACAAGAAACAGTTTCCCTTGAAACGTGTTAGGATATCAAACACAACAGTTGCTGATGCAGTTGCAGTTATTCATCCATCAGCTTTAATTATTGAGTATGTCTGTTAGATAACTAGTCCATCTCTTTATTTTCCTGCTTGCACGTGGATTACCAGGATGATAAGGTAACGTTGTGGCAGATAATTTTATTTTTAATGCTGGAACCCTCGTAACCTGTCATGTGTCCATATTAATGCATTCAAGCAAGCCATTGAATTGAGCCCATGAAATGTAACAAGGGATGTTTTGATCTGCGGGACATCATACTTGTGGTATTTTGTTATTTTGGCAGTAGCTTTCCTAAAGTAAGAATGTCCAAAAGAAAAAGATGGTTCCCCTATAGCAGACATGTCAAACACAAGGCCCTGGGGCCGAATGCAGCCCGCGAAGTGGCCTGCGAAGCCATCCTGGAAACAGTGAGGGAACGGCCGCTGCTGTCTTGGCCCTGGCCCAGGCCGGCCGGGAGCCAATGTACAATTTTGTGGTGGCCATCTATGCTGAAACACATTCAGTCTTAGCTCCACAAGGCCATCTGGAAACAGCAAGGAACCAGCCCCTGCCGCGTCAGCCCTGCCCCCTGGGTGCATGCTGGGGAGGGGTCACCCTTTATGAGGAATGAAGAAATGCACCATCGCCTGGAAGTGGCCAGCAAATGGCCCTTGTCTACTTCACATATCCGGCTTGATGGGCACTGCCCTGGTCTCACCCCTTTCTGCCAGAGACCCTCAGATCTGTCCCACTCCTGCCCAGGCCCCCACAGGCACCCTTGACGCGAATGATGTAGAGCTGGCCACGCCCACCCAGTAGGCCACACCCACTCCATCCATGCCCACCCAGTAGGCCACACCCCCTCCCTGAGGGCAGCCACAATGCTGATGCGGCCCTCAATGAAATTGAGTTTGACACCCCTGCCCTATAGCCCTTTAGCTAAACAAGAAAGATCAGGCCCACACGTGAAAGTTCAATTAAACTGATATATTGTTTAAAGCCTATGTGCAGGAATCTTCCCAACTAATACCTGCTAAGATAAGGGTCAGCAGCACTCAAGGGGGGTGGGTGGGTGGACTTAGTTTTCTTACGACTCTGTAGGGATTCTAGGCTGATTCCCCCCTTTTCGCTCTACCTCCAATTCTGCCATCTTTTCTCCTTCAACCAGAAACTTTTTTATTGTGTGGCTGTATCTGTCACAGCTTTGAAACAGCCCTGGGATATGTAATTGAGAGAGAGAGCATGACTGGGCCAAAGATCAACTAGGGAAGTTCATGGCTCAATTAAGATTTGGACTCAAGCCAACCCACTTAGAGCAAATTGTTTTAGCAACTCCTCTGGAAGAGCAGCATAGACAAGTCTACATCCATGATAACTAAACAATGATTATATTATACAGTTTATTTGCTGCTGAGACAAACGTGCATTTAAGCCGCCCTGAGTCCTACGGGAGAAGGGCGGGATATAAATCCAAATATAAATAAAAAATAAAATAAATAAATAAAGCGTTTACTATTGAATCTTCCTCATTTGTTCTTCCATTGATTATTCCCAGAACACCATGACGGATTCTACAATTCTTCTGGAAGACGTTCAAAAGATGAAAGACAAGGGGGAGATCGCTCAAGCTTATATTGGACTGAAGGAGACAAACAGGTACAGGAATAAAAATCTGGTCTCCTTTTTGTTTCCCAACATTAATCGTTATCTCTACTTTTTCCCTCTGTCTTTCTGTCTCCCCACCACCACCACCACCACCCAGGCACCCTATGGCAGTGGTGGCGAACCTATGGCACGCGTGCCAGAGGCGGCACTCAGAGCCCTCTCTGTGGGCACGCGCGCCATCGCCTCAGCCCCGCCTCCCCCCGCGGCCCCCTCCTCACCAGCAGCCCCCCTGGAGGAGAGTCGCTTCCGGGCGCGGCCTGCATGGAGCAGCGCAGCCAAGGACATAGCCAGGCAGCAGGGACAAGACTCTGCCCTCGTGCCTCATAGCGTGCAGATGATGCTGCGGGATGTGGGCGGAGGGCGTGGCTGCCATGGCGCTGCAGGGCTGCCTGGGTGATCTGCGGCGGGCCATGGAGGCGGTGCGTGGTCCTGCGGGCAGGCGGGGCAGGGGGCGGGCAGGGGCGGAGCAGGCAGGACGGGAGGCGGGGCAGGGGACAGGTTTTGGGCACTCGGTCTCTAAAAGGTTCGCCATCACTGCCCTGTGGGATGTACAGAACATTTCAATAGTTTGAATTGCTTTGAATTTGAAAAGCCCCGTTTTACATTTGAAATAGCACGTTTGGAAGTGCTTGTAACTTAGGATATAATACCCTGAGCCCTAAACCACTTCCAAAATGATCATAACAGCCCATCTTGAATGTGGGATAGTTGTTTCAACCTCCAAACAGGGTATTTTGAATTCAAAACTTTTTTCACCACCTCCAGCATTCTCACTCCATACATCTTGACTTTTAAACATCCACATCTTGGGTCCTTTAGTTTTAATCTCTCTAAAGAGCACGATGGTTTTTAGTGCCTTCAGCTTTCGCAGGAAAATCAAACCTTAAATAAGCTTGCATTTGATGTTTAAAAAGTATTTTGTGGTTTTGATACACGGTTCTGAAATTTGCTAAATTGCGTGTTACCCTCGTGAAAATACAGCTTAATTGTATGCCTTGGTTTTTATCTTTCAGTATTCTTCTTTTATAGGAAAAAAAAGCTTTTTTAAAAAAAATACAATATTGTTCCAGGGATAGAAGAAGTAGGGCACTGCCTTGCCAACTTTGGTTATAGTATCAGACCTGCCCTTAGACAGAACAGCAGTGAAAATATTTTCTGATTGGCATTATAGCCCAGAAATATTACATTGGCTTCCTGTCACAGCGAATAAGTAAATCTGAGAAGATTCTTCCCTTCTTCAATTATTTGTGCTGTGTAAAATCCTTCTTATCGGGTTATATGAGAAGGTGGCTTATATGCTCGGATTTAATGAATCTGGAATAAAGCAGCCTTATCTGAACACATCTTATTATCTGGGTTGCTTTCAGGATACCTTTTACAACTGCATAACTTCTATAGCAATAGAAGTAATAGATACCGTAGTTCTATATTTACATTGGAGCAAGTCCCAGTGAAACCAGTGGATTTAGATAAGATTACACAAATACACGTTAGGAAGGTTGCATTTTTTTGTTTAAATTTAGGCATTAGGATCTTGGGGTTTGATTCTCAATAAATTTGTACAAGATTGGTTGGGTAAACATCTTGGACTTATATACACTGAGACCAAAATAGATAGTTCTTTTTGTCCCCTTTTGTTACACTCTTAGCTTGCATTGTCCTTTTACTTAGCATGTCCCATCATTTCCATCACGTGTCCCTTCTTTTTTGTTTGTTTCTGCATTTTTAAAAAAAAACACATTTTGCTTGGAAGATCATCTCCTCAAGACTGTCATTTGCTGAACGAGGATGGCGAACTGTGGCTGGTATATGAAGGGCTAAAACAAGCCAACAGGTTACAAGATTTCTCAGGATGGGGTTGTTTTTTTTTGCTGTTTTAATTTGCATTCTTTCTTTCTTGCCTTCCTGAGTCACTAACATGCTGTGGAGCTGCTTTTGGCAATTACATTCGATCCCAACGTCTTCGTTAAAGGAAAAGAAAGAAGAGTATGCTTTTATGTATTAATAGGATTTACATACTGCCTGGCTCAATATGGCTTTGGGCAGCTAAGCCAGAAGTCCAGTGTTAGGATTGATATGGCCACGAGGAAAGATCCAAGCTGCAAAAATTTAAATGCAGAGGCACAATTCATTTATAAGTACTGGCGTTTCTGTATTCATCAGGAGAAGACCAGCGAGCACATGATGGAAACACGTCCATCACAGCCAGTAAATGCAAAATCTGCCCACATTTTCTACTAGATGGGAAGAATAGGAGGACCAACTGTTCTGGCATTAACACATTCTTCTCCTGTGGAATTTTGTTTCTTTATTTTGGAAATAAGGTGAATCCCTGTGCTTATCCTGCTGGCTTCACTGCCTGGACGATCTCCATCACAGAGCAGAGACAGGGAAATAATTTATACTGGGGGTTTGCGGTATTAATGGAGAAAGTGGGCCGATTTCTCCAAGAGTCCCTAAAATCTTGGTGTCAGCTAGAAAAGCTGGCAAATCAAACTTTAATTATTGTTCTCCAAAAAGAATGCATAGTCCGGTGCAGAAAGATAAATTTCAAAATGCATAGCCCAGTACCTATCCTAGGATTGGCAGGATGAAACATACATGTAATTAAACATACGATATGCCTGTCATTACAAATAAGCTATTCTGCCGAGAAAAACACCCTTTCAAAAAAAATCAGATTTTTCAGGCCATTTTGAAAATGATCTCAACACAGTACGTACACCCTGTTCGGTAAATATAGCCGTTGAATGCATCCACTTAACTGGGCAATGGGGAAGTCAGTTTTTAAACATACTGTTTATATTCTCCGAAACTTGACTGCTTTGTGCTGTTTTTGTAGCTGAGCGATACGGAGAGTTCCATTTTTTTTAAGCTCAGTATAATAATGCTCAAAATGCTGCTTTTGCCATGAATGCCAATTTAACTGGTCTCTTTTTCCTTTTCTTGTACTGCTAACAAAACATGTGCACTTAACTGCATCTTTTTGTAAGTCTGCAAGAAGTTATTAACCTGGGGGGTGGTCTACGCTGCGGGGAAAGCAGGGGAAGAGAGCTTTGGCTCTGCAGCTTTGGCTTCTTGTCCTCGCGTTCTAGAATTGCTAGAAGGTTCTAGAGCAAATGGCAAAGAAACGAAAGGTAAATTAGCCAGATTTACCTTCACATGCTTAGTCGATGCAGCTATTAGCTGATCTGCTTAGGCATATTTAAACCCTGAAAGGCTGATGGTCTGATTATAGGTAGCCTAGTTGAGGTATGCACCTGTTTGTAGGAAATGCAGTGCCAGCATTGATCACGATTATTTATCTATTCTTTTCTTTCATTCATTCATTCATTCATTCATTCATTCATTCATTCATCCATTCCTCCTACAATTGACACCTGGTGAATAAATCATTGGTCCACCCGCCCGAAGTTGTGCACTGAATCAGTAGCACGGGATTTTTTTTGTTGTTATTAGTTCTTCTGTGGGCCTTTGGGTCAGCAATAATACTCCTTTTAAAACCGAAGCACTGAAGATTCTCTGGTCCTCATGGGTTATTTTTGCTTTAGTTAGGATACTTCTGTTTCTCTCGGAGCAAAATAATCCTGAAGGAGAAGAGGAACTCCTTAATAGACATGTCCCTTTTGTTTGTAGAAATGATTGATGGGTCCCTTAAGGGCCAGGATTACTTAATAGTTCGCTGGGGGTTAGAGACCAGCGTTAGCCTAAGACAGGGGTAGGCAACTTTGGCTCTTTTATGACTCGTGGACTTCAACTCCCAGAATTCCCGAGCCAGCCATGCTGAGGGGAAAGGGAGAGGTTTCCAAGCTGAGCCATGCTGGCTCAGGAATTCTGGGAGTTGAAGTCCACAAGTCATAAAAGAAAGAGCCAAGGTTGCCTACCCCTGGCCTAAGATGTTAGGCGTTTGAGGCAGAAAATCAAAATACCTCCTATGATGATAAAAATGTAGCAATAACCAAATCGTATTTACTTGTCGTAAACTTCAGTGTAAGTGCTATATGAAGTCTTGTTAACTAATTGCTACAAATCTGTAATTTTCTCTCCTCCCATAGTGCACCCTAGACTTTTTCCCCCTAAAGCATCCTCTTTTCAGTGGGTGTAAAATAGCATTTACTGCAGCCTTAAGCTTTGTGTGGCGTTTAGCACCTAGAATTGCAGGGAGGACAGTTCCAGAAACTGGGAAGTCCACGCACCTTAAATTGGCTGATATTGAGAGGACGCCTCTCCAGAAGGATCTGCTGCTTAATAGTTTTGCAGTCCAGCAGTCCCTGAAAGAAAATCTGGACCTCCAGCATGCCCGTGCTGGATCAGCCCTCGTTCTGCACGGGTGAAGTCGGTCGAGCAAACTTTCAGCCTCAAGTCACTCAAAAGGGTTTAAAGGGCATTTTTCTGGTTTTCTTTCCTTCCCTGATGGTTTTGTCGCTTACTCCTGTCAGCAGCCGTTGAAATGCTCAATCTGTGACGAGAGGTCTTTAAAACGTGCCTTTCCTGCTTCTCCCTGATCCTCCCGTCTCTCTTGGCCTTCCTCAATTGGCTTCTTGTAGGCTTCTGGAATCTCAGCTGCAGGCTCAGAAGAGAAGCCACGAGAATGACCTGGAGGCCCTTCGCGGAGAGATCCAGAGTCTAAAGGAGGAGAACAATCGCCAACAGCAATTGCTGGCCCAGAACCTCCAGCTGCCCCCAGAAGCCCGGATAGAGGCCAGTCTGCAGCACGAAATCACCCGCCTGACCAATGAGAACTTGGTAAGAACTTTTCATAACTCGGTAGTCTGGAAAACCAAGCTGTACTTAACTAAGTTTTGGGGGAGAAATTTTTTTTTGCCTCGACAAAACCATCCAGAACAGAAGCTGGCCTGAAGTTCCTGAAGGTTTGAATATGAATCCCGGCTCCGGCTCCTTAGTCCTGTGGGAGAGAATCTGCCCCAAACCAGGATATTGGATCTGTTGAGTCTCTTGAGCAGAGTCACATAAATCCTCTTTTCATGCTGCACACATTTCAGCATCTCTTAGAAAGCAAGATTTTTTTTACATAACATCTTCTGTTCTAGGCCACGCGCAGGCTTGCCGATGTTAGCCAGAGGGTGGCATCGCTTTCAGTTTTTTTTTTTCAATATAAAATTTTTATTATTTTCCAAAAAAACAAAAAAAACATCACAAGTATTACACAATATTATATTATATCCCACCCCCCCCCC